ACCTTGCATAGCCCATCTTGAATTCTAAAGTTTTGATTCGATATTTATTAATGAAGTTTAACTGAAGTCGTTTTCTAGAGCGTCCACCACCTTGCAGAAGACATCTTGAATGTCCGAATTCGGACTCGAAATTTGAAATTTCCGACCCCGAGAACCCCAACCTGCACATTTCCAGGCAAACCGAAGAATAAATATCAACAAAAGTCGCTAGCCACCCTGCAAACGCCATCATAAATTTTCAAGTTTAGGCTTTAGTTTGATTAGAGCGTAGCCATAGCACCACTATACGGGAAAAATTGCCACGGTGGCAAGTCAAGAGCGTATAAAATTGGCTGTGTCAAGTCTGCCTGTGCTTTGACCGGGCACATACGTTCAGTTTGAAGTCTGACCAACCAGCTGTTTGGAAATATCGGTCACGTTTCAAACCTCTGCCCTGTCGAGTCAAACATTGACCATTCTGATATCACCACTGTGGTTGAACGGCTGACTTGACAGAGACATTGTTTTGTAGTTTGTCTTGCCTGAAGCGTGGTGGTCATTAGAGTGGTGTTCCTTCCTCCGAGCGAAAAGACCGGGGTTCGATCCCTACTCCAGCTAATCTTTTTTCTATCTTTTTTATTTATCGAAAAAATACTATCGAGGCATTCATTGGTTAGGCCGATAGTGATTCGCTATTTCAATTATGTTTCTTCTCAGGATCGGCTGAAAATTTTCAGTTTCTCGCGCCCAGAGCGAGCAGCGAGCGAGGCACAATATTAACTCGCTATGGTGCTATGACTAGACTCTAGTTTTAGTTTGTGATGATTGTCGCAGCATTTGAAATACGAGAAACCACCGGACTGTCACCGGATTATTGCCACCGGACTGCTCGGACTGCCACCGGACTTCCACGGACAGCCGAAAGAATGTACACTGTGTGCCCCAGTGATTTACCAGTCATTAGTTGCGTTTTATTTTGATATATTTGATATGGTGTCGTTTTATTTGCAACTTTACCGATTCCGGTTGCTACTTTTCATTCCGTCTCACTACAAGAAATGACGAGGAATAACTATTGACAGTTGTCAGAAAATGAAATTAATTGACGAAAAACGAAACTTTTTGAAAATAGAAGACATTTAGAAGACATTTTTATCGTGAGGTTCACAAGTTCACGATTCTTTCAAGTAAGACAGGTTTCATAAGATCATTCCCAGATAAATTAAATTCTCTAGATCTCCGAGAACTTTCTCCAACCACCACAATCACTGCTCCAAATATGCGTTGATTCATTTCATCATTTTTTTATTTTTACATCTAGTATTATGATCTTGAAATTATTGGAAGCCCGAATATATAAATATAACCTCTATTCGCGATAGAAAATAACTTGTCGCCCCATCTGACGACAACAACTGGAACACTTCTGAGCGGTTTGTTTTGATGCTTTGACCAATAAGCACAAACCAAAAACAAGAGTGAACCAATGAAAACAAAGTAAACAGACCGCTCTGACCAAGGAGAGTATACAGAGAAGGAGTGCTAGATCCCTATCTTCCAATGTATTCCCTAAAATGTGACGTCATGCTGATGCCTTTCGCATCTCTTTTGTTTTCTGTGATCATGCCGTGATCCTATTGGTCGAAATAATACACAAAACATAAACAAACATGGCTGAAATATTTAGCAAACGCGCGCTAATGTTACATCTTTCAAAGCTTTCCAAGGTTTCTTTGTGTGATTTGAGTGATTTGTGAGAAATTGTTCATGTTTTATATTTATGAGTGATCACTCATCAGCTATCAACCATCGAATTACAGATTATAGAAAGAGGAAAGAGACTTTCGAAGCCTCCTAACCATTGTGAATTTGAGTGCATACAGAGAATTTTTACAGCCTGTGAAGTACTTTGCAAAGAACAACTTCATTGTGAGTATTGATTGTGATCCTTGTACATGAATACACATACCTACAGTTGTATATTTCTCACAGATTAACCAATAAAATGCCTGGAATGTGCTGTGCTGTTTATGGCCTATTCCAAAACTGCAGGTGCTGGTATTATTTTTCATAGATTTCCTGGTTTTGTTACCATCAGACAAGAATGGATAACCAGATGTAGCAGTAAAACAACGTTCAATCCAGATTCAAGTAGAATGTGTTCTTGTTATTTCACAATAGAAGATTATGAAAGAGACTTGAAGAATGAATTATTAGGTAAAGATTGCATTTCTCACAAAACTATATGCTTGACTTACAGATAACAGTTGTATCTATCATGCATTTTGTTACAGGTTCACCCTTGAAGAGGATTTTGAAAAAAACTGCGATTCCCACACTGGAACTGGCAGAAATTCAAGAAAACTATGATGCAGGGCAGACACAAGACCATTCAGAAAAATTATTGGAAGTAGTCTGAAATGATACTGGCCAAGAACAAATACATCAAGTCCATTAAAGTCCAATCATCATCAAATGTGAACAGAATTTCATCAACTTTATACTATCTAGGTTATAGACAATTTGGGGAAAAGTACAAGAATATGGAAACAATGATTCAATGCCAGAAGATACAAATAAAAAAGATACATCTTTAATGAAGCTCTTGACATAAGTCAGCACTTGAAAATTTGTAAAAAGGAAAGTTGCTCTATATGAAAAATCAGTATTTTTATTTTTCACAAGTCAAAACATTACTTAGTTTCAGATTAGCAATGCAGCTATTGAACAAAATCTGGCAGATAATTATTTTTATGATCAAATTGCTTGAAATGTATCCTACAATGTTCATACCTACTCAAGAAAATTGTTATTGATAGGAAAGTTGGCCCTATTTTATCAAAACATAATAACTTTGTTTCAGATTAGCCATAGAGCTAATAGGTTTTCAAATTTCAATATACAAAAACAGATACTTTGAAATACTTACAGAAGTTGTTACCTTTTCAATTATTTCCAATATAAGCAAATGCTCCACTATTACTGTTCCCACTGAATAAAATGAATTGATTTCAAGTCTTGTTTTTATTCCCCTATAGACCAATAAGGAAATTAAAGTTTTTTCAGAAAATCAAATTTATAATTTTCAAATTTAATCACAATACTCATTACAATTAGTGAAATGATAATGTAACATATTCTTGAAACATTCTTTACAAATCATCATCCATAATATATTTCTTTGAATTTTACTATTGTACTACTAGCTATACAACTTTAAGGAAAATAATACACTGAAAAAATTGGGTGCCTTCCAATTTTACTAAGGTCCTCCTCCACAAAATGTGTATGTTTTTCCTCTTGTATCACTATTCATGTATTGAGTAATAACACAGTTCCACAAATTTCTCTGAACCATTTATTTACCTGAAAATTTAATTAATTTAAAATAATTGAGCTGAATTTTGATTTTTTTTACAATCATTTCATCCTCAAAAATAACTCCATCTGGAGGAATATTGTGAGACAAATTGATTAACTTTTAAAGGAAAGTAGGAATCCTCAGTTTTCTCCAGATTTTGATAAAATTTAAAAGGTTAAAATGTGACATGTTTCCAACTTCAGCTAGAGGAATCTACAATTTTATATGTTAAAATACTTATGTCGTACTACAATCATATTCAACTTACAGGTAGGGAAAGTTGTAGCTTCCTTGATGCTTGACAAATTTATTTCTTAAGCTTTCCTGGAAAAACCAGTTTATTTTCCAAGTATTCTTCCTATCATGTGAAAGTAAACCTTAAATAATTCAAAGTAAGTATCAGATGATAATTATGTCAAAAATTCAATAACCAGTTATTTTCATTTATCTCCTTTTTTCCATATTGCCAATCACTGTGGATATTCAATAGCAACGTTTGATGCATATTTTCCATAAAATACTCTAATATAGCCTTGCAACATGGTTTCAATTAACAATTAATGGAGATTTAAATGTATCCACTCAGAATATTAAACATTATCTCTGAACCCTCTTCTTTCTTTTCTATTTTCTACTTCAGATCTGTACAGCTCACATTTAGTCTTCATTTCTGAAATTTCAAAAGATCATTGCTGAGCTGTGATGAACCAGTAATACAACAAAAATAACACCACCTGTTTATAGGGAAGATATGTTTGAAAAATCCTGAGACATCCCTGCTTGCCAAGTACCTTTATGCTTTAGAATGTGTAGGCTGTCCAAGAGCTAATGTTTGCAAACATAAGTTTTATATACCTACCTATTATGTGTTTGCTATTGCTTCATCTACTCTACATATTTAATGACCATCAGCTTTCAATACATCTTCCTCTGTCAAAGATCTATTTCTAGTTCACTGAAACATGAGAGCAAAGATGAAATTATACTATGAAGAGAAATATTTGTTTAACATACCTGCTTAGCATTCTCAATGATCTCAAGTCTACTGATATCATCACTATCATCAGCTGATGAAATGGACCATATTTTTTCCATGTGATATTCTTCGGTTTCCCATTATTATTGAGAGTATCTGAAACAACCAAAAACTTCAATGAATAATAAATGCATTTTCGTAATTTGTGCAACAAAAATATTACATTACATAATAATTATTTGAATCACTAACCTGTGAGCCTGTGAGACCATTCAACGATTACCTTCCAATTACACCCAGAGTTGATTATTCTAGTTCATGTCCCTCAATTTCATTATTTGAGATATTTTATAAATACAATAAAAATAATTTTCCAATTTGACGGCCATATTGCGATCAATGTGATGACGTAGTTCTGATACCCTATCACGTGACCACGGCAGAAGATTTTGCGGGATCTGGCAATCCTTCTAGAGTTTATAATCCTTGCGCTCTGACAGCTTTCAAGAACTCCGATAGGTAGCGTCGGCTTATTTTCTATTGGGAATAATCTATAATATCCTTGATTATAATATACACAAGTGTGAATACTCAATGATAATATGTCAATTCTCTCTTGCCAGGTCATGAAGTTTCTCATTTTATTTGTAAATGTCATTCTGTTTCCACCACCATTACCAGAATGAAACAAATGAAAGGCAACTATTGTGAATGATCCAGGAGGTAAAATAACAAGACAATTTTAATTTATTAAATTAAAATTAATTGTTTGGAAAATATTACATTTGAAATTGGTTGTCATACCCAGTTTCACAGGGTATTTCTCAGTCAAAATTGCAGCAGATGTGTTCATGATTATTGTGGAGATTAATGTACTGATATCATAACTCTTGAACTATGGCATGTTCCAGTTATAGTAATATCATTTTAGTAAAAGAAATACATTTTTCAATTAACAGTCAACATTCCTTACTAGTCCATCTACAAATCTAAGTGTATTCAGATACTAGTACCCAAATCAATGTTGCACCCAATTTGGGAATGTAACAAGTGTGGAATCTATTTTATACTGGAATGCAAATCAACTTTTGCAAGAGTCAATACTGCTCCTAGTATACATTCCATACATACATGGGCATGAAGTAGTCAATAATATAATAATATATAATGGCATCTTTGATACAATTACATTTATTAATCCTAAATATCTATGATAACAAATAATTCATACCTATTTTTGTCTGGTTCATTAATAATTTGCATTGCAGAATATGTAATAGCCTTGACTTCAGTTCCTTGAGGGTGTTTTCCAAGAGTAAATTCTTCCCCATAACATTTGCATTTTATCTTCATTTCCTCCCCTTCCATTATAAACTCTGTAATACTCACTTTGCTGCATATCAAGAAAGGTTCACAACTGAATAAAAACAAAAGTTCATCTAGGAAATGGAAAAGTAGGCTCTCCAGATCATGACCAGTTGCTTCTATTTCACTGGACTGCAGGATTTCAACAGATGGCAATTCTGTCATGTAACCAAACATTGCTATTCCACATTGTTCAAAAGCTTCTTTCAAACTGTCTCCCCAAGCATGTAACCTATGAATTTTGACTATTAGATCTATCAATTTGAAAGTGGATTTATACAAAAATTGTAATTCATTGCTCCAAGAAAATTTCAATTATTATCCACAGTAATGATAGGTATCACAATGTTCTGATTGTTCCAAATAATCTGTCACTTTGATGTTCACAAAATTTTGTAGCAAAGCAGCACATTCAGAACAGTGTGGTATTTTGCTAGACTATTTCACAAATGAACAAGCAATATTACCAAAGCAATTAATTCTGATATCTACAGCTATAATTATTTTATGTCAAACTGACAGATTTTACTTTGCTAACCATTGTAACAAATCAGAATTGAAAGACAGCTAAGTAGTGTTTTCAGGATAACACAAGTAGCCTTTAGCTTGTGAATGGTCAGATTATGTGAGAATTTGTAGGTGAATGAAATAGTTTTATGCAAAAACAAGTGATGATCTCTGTATAAATCCACCTGGAATTACCAATCCATGCAGATAGGTACTTAGTTAAGTATTCACATACTGAACATCAGCAGTGTGATCCAGATCTGAAACAAAAAGATTTCTTTATCATTCAATCTGTATTATATTAGGAATTTCAAATCATACTCACATTCATATTTGCATGAAGGTAACTTCAGCTCTTCTTCTGTAAATTGCTCCCCCATTTCAGTTCTCCAGATTCAAAAATATTATAGGTAAGTATTTTATTTGACAATTTATTAATGTCATGTATTATACCTCAGAATTCGTTTATGATGTTATGAAATAATAATAAAAATATAAAATATATTTGAAATTGAGAGAAAACAAAAAAGTTCGAGGTTTCGAGGTTAGGTTATGTTATGATAAAAACTTCTGTCTAAGTAACCGTGAGACGAGCTCAAATCCGTTTATTCCGTTTACAAGTTTCTCCCTATCGGTAGTATGTTGACCCAACGAAAATACCCGAAGCGGTGTTGCAGCAGCGACGCGACGCAGCGATACGTAGCTATCTGCCTGCCGCTTTCTTCTTGTTCTGGGATTTTTATTGAGTTATACAAATGTGCCGTGAAAGTGTTAAGTGGTAATGTAAGTAATCAAACCTGAACATGAACCCCAAGAAGATCGAAGCCGTTTGAACAAAATATAAGCAGCATTCAAGAAAACCCCTCAGTAGAACCTCGATTATTCGTGCTCCACGGGACCGGGCCAGGAACACATATCTGATAAGCACAGAAAACCCGAAAACGTATTTCTTACATAATATATGGATGTACAGGGTATCCAAAATTCGAAGGGTATCATTGGAATCTCAGTAACCATAACAGATACAAAAGTCGCTCCAATTGAGTCAATAAAGTTGCACAATTTGACGCTGATCAAAATGTCACCTAAGAAATTTGAAAATATCGAATACTTCCGAAAATATTTGAAAACAAATGTTTTTGGCCCTAAAAAAACTCTAATTCCAATTCCGAATCCAACGAATTATTGCACTTCACAATCATTCGTCGTGGTGAAAATAATGTTGAGGCAGTAAGGGACTACACCCTGTATACACAATATAGTGATCATATTGATGGCTTCTATCGAAAAAAAAACTTACCACTGAAACTATCCTTATTCTTGCATAATATAATAATATACCTGCAACTTTCATATTTTCTGCAGATATAGGTCTTATCCTAGTAGGGGTATTTGTATAACTTACCGGCGACTCGAATGCATTCAAAATTTGACACACACGAGAAATGTGTGCCCTGCTGCATGTAAACATATATTATTTTTTTAATTTCATGTTCGAGCGCTGGTGCAGTTCGGGTATTTTCGTTCGGTCGTTGGGCAAACATATTACCGATCGGGAGAATCTTGTATGCGTTTTGCCCAAAAATATGGATGAGATGTTTATAAGTTGAATGGTGGAGCGACTCTTCAATTGTTTTTGTAACAAATGTGTACGACGATTCAGAACGAGGAGAATACTTCTAACCTTTTATTGGGAGATGGCGCCACGATCGCAATCGATATTATTATGATTATTTTATAATATCGAAATGGCCATGCAGGGGCATAGTGATACAGTATACATTTGATTGACACCTTGTGGATTAAATTAACAATGAAACCTCAATCTTCATGAACTGAAAGCAATTGAATCTGGATTTGAGGATGGAAGATCATCTATAATAATGATATACAACGACAATATGCTTGCTGGGTTTATTGTTAATTTCAGGTAATTTTTTTTTGTATCATCATATAGATAGATAATTTTTGAATTAACATTGCATTTTAGGTGTAGAGGTATATTAAAAATTCATAAAGTCCAAGTCACAGCTTTGCAGATAAAAAAATCAAGTTCAGAATGGTACAGTAGCATTTATATCGTAGTAGTCTTGTCATCCTCAATACAATTCGTAACTCCTGTAGCTGTTGATACGGTGTCATCGTGTACAGCTCCGCATACCAGCGATGGAAACTTCTTTTCGAGTGCCAGCCTGTATCTAGGATGGCTAAAAAAATACGAATGCTTCAGAACACTCTTTAGTCATGGGAATAACAAAGTGATTAGGGAGGTATAGCGACTTTGGAGGAGACAGAGGAATGTGACATCTACTGAAATGACTTATTTTACACGAACAGGGATAGACGAATCCAGACTACAAATGAAATATCAAAAATATATGAAGGTGACACCAGTAACAGCCTCACGGTTTTCGAGATTATGAAACGTTCATAAAAAAATAATTCCAGTCTCAGAGCATTCTTGGTGATTCTTATTTCTGAAAGCAGTCATTCACAGTCTAAAAAAAAACTTTCAATAAAGTTTCATTATATAAATCATAAAGGATCCAGATCGGAGGATTATTTGTTTCAGACCACCAGCTACAGTGTGGTACGGTATTATGCATAGTTGACCGGACACCTTGTGTGTATTATTAACTCTTTGAACTCACCTTATTGCATATACGATGGGGTTGTAAACAGCATTAGCCTTGGCGAGAATCGAGCACCAGATGCCGCTCAGAGGGTTGATCTTCGTGCTGCCGAGGATGCCGGCTAAGTTGGTGGCCATATAGGGCGTCCACGCCATGAACCACAGAGTGATGGTCATCAGAGCGATCTTTGCCAGTTTGTATTCGGAGCTCTTCGCTGCGTTTTCTGAGGAACGGAGGGATGCGACGTTCATCTTCTTGGCTTGATCTCTCATTGACTTTTCATGGGCTGCTACTGTCTGAGCAATGGAAATGTAACTAATTTATCAATTATTGGGAATCTTTCGAAGCCACAAGAAGTTGAATGACTTTATGAAAGGTGGAATTTACTAGTCAGTCTTACAGCCATTTACAGCAATACTCAACCCTTTCTTTCATATTTGCTATCGATTGAAGGTATGATAATCATGTTACCTAAGAGGGTTGGTTCCAACCAAACACACTGTATGATATGTGATCAGAACTCATTAACATATATTTATTGACAAATCATACAACTTTCTTTCATTTCCGTTCCAGCGGACATGATTTTGAAATATTCACTTGAAAGGGCAGTGGCTATCGTATCCGCTTGAATTATGGAAAACAATCTCCACATCCGAGGAATTTTTGTCGCAGGGTTGGTTTGCAAGTCTTATGAATTTCCTACAGATAACAATGTGATCATTCATATTGGATGCGAACGCATTCTCAAGAATATATACACCTCACTTTCAATTATTTATAAAAAATAGTTCATGATTTTAATATTCACTTTCGAAAATATCCCATCACATTATATTATATTTTAAATATATTATATATTCTCAATATATTCGAAAGACACTAGCTGTAAATTATGAATTCAATTTTTTGTTCACAAATTGAGTTTCTGGGTTCTATAGGCTGATAGACATTGTATTGAAGGAGTTTCATAATGCTCGATACCTCAACGTGCTCGAACGTAGTTTTTCAGTCTATATAGAATGTTCCTTTCTATATAAAGAAACATACATATATCCGATGTATATAAACCTACATGTTATCTGTTCACATATTGATCCAGAGACTATTTAGTGAAAATCATCCTGAGCAACTCAAAGAGCTATGAACCAATCTGATATCGAAAAACATGAGTATATCCTAATATATCCTTCTAGAATATCCAATTATCTTGACTCGTAATATATTATGGAAGAATTTGATGATCTCAATGTCTAACATATGCACTGAGAGAAAACTTGAGTTATCATAATTGGAAATCTGATAACCGTTATTACGATATCTGCAATAAATAGGGGACAGATGTGTTCATGTGCTACCATAGATGAAGTGAATTTTCAGGTGACTTGTAGTTATGGCAGCTTATTCAATTTGCAAACTTGTATAAAAACACCGCTGCTGAATAACTACTACTTGTTCTAGTTTCTATGATAACACAGAATGTCGAATAGGAATTATTCCCATAAAATGTTGCAGTAACTCTCCACTCTACAGTGGTTATTAGACTATCGACATAAAACAGCATGTTTCTATTACTGGCACAACCATCTTGAGGTAACGCAGTAATTCGTCTCATTTTATTATAGTTATCTGATATCTGCATGAAACCTGACATTTCGACATGCTATTGTAATGTAGCTCATTTTCAACAGTTATCCCAATATTTTTTTACTCTAGTATATATTCATCAAACAGTGGTAATAAGGTTATCAACATTATTCGATGGTTTGCATTATGAAACCGTGCTTTGAATTACTGCAATGAAAATAAATATCCTATCCACACTATCACTTTTCATGATCCAAAGTTATTGTTTTCAAAAAAACAAAAAAATACGTTTAGTCTCTGAATTGAAATATTGGGGTATCTGTGGAAGTTTTTTGACATTACTCATTGATTTGTTCGGAGAAATATCATCTATATGCATTACTGACGAATTTATTAAGAAATGAGAAGTTGAATACTTATATTTACCTTTCCTTCGGAGTTATGATGAGAATTGTCAATAAAACTTCCCTCACAGAAACCCAGATATTTTGATTCAGAATCTCATCGATCATTTTGTTTTTGAAATAAACCAATTTTAGGCCTTGAAAAGTGGGTATGGAGAATACTTTTTTCATTGCAATAATGCAATGCACGGTGTATTCCACAGATCGGTTCACAGCCAGCACTAAAACAAAACTTTGCTACATCACAGACATTCACCAACAAGACACGGCTCTTTCGATTCGGACGATCGAAACCATTGAACAATAATTGAACACGGGCACCCATGACCGAGAACAGAGAAATGAACGCGATCTGTATCTTTGTCAGCCACAATACTAATGAAACACTAGAGTGAACTGAGCAGAATTACGATTGTCGAATGATTGCCTAATAACCGTCATACATGTGAATTGCTAGAGTTATTCGTCAACGTACAATGCTAGAAACCCAAACAGCTATGATTATTGGGACAAACATTATCTGAATTCGCCAATGAGCATAATTCACAAAACGAGCTATGTCAATAAAAAATCTGAATAGACTGGAATTCATAAAATTATCATAATGTCATAACACACCTGCGTTATGATGGTAGCAAATGTCCATTCAAGGGTATTACAAATGATTTAAGAAATCGATTTTTATAATTACAGAATGGAGAGTATACTGTTGTGATAATAAAATGATCAGGAATAGGAGATTTCCTTATAAAGGTTATTACAATCAGAGCTGGTAGATATTTTTAATATCCAGTTTCTCTCAGTGTGGTGTTCTGATTTTTTTTGTTCCAGTTCTATTCTCATTGTTTCTTGAAATCACCAGAAATGGGTGATAGAATGTTCAAATGATATATGAGTTTCATTGGTCAGTCACTAATATATTGATGATAGTTGATTTTCACCTGAAAGGATTCTCAATACCTCTACAAGAATGATCACATTCAACACAACTCACATATATACATATAGATTACTTATAATGACTCATTATTTAGGTACTTATTCATATGAACAAGAAATACGTACCCGTACAATGAAGAAATAGAAGTAGCTGATAGACAAAAGTGGGAGGACATAACAAAACGATCCGTAAACGATGAGATAGCTGATGTCCATTGTATTTCCGCTTAGATAGTCAGTTCCACAAGCAGTCAAACTGCCTTCCGGTACATACCTGAGAATCAAATATCATTGTGGATGCTGTTCCCAATTTTCACTACCTATTTCTCCACTTTGAGTAAGGTAATATGATTTCCCGTAGATGTACAGGCAAGTTTAGGCAGTTTTATATATTGTTAAAATCCATATGTGCCAAAATGAATCATATCAACACTAAAAATGTTATACAAAATAATGTAGGTATATCGTTCCTTTGGCTACTACGATTTTGTAGTTTTCACTACCTAGACACCTTGGACTGTCACTTACTTGATGCATATTTTGACGTTTCACATAAATTTTCATTAAACGTACATCAGTGCGAATCAAATTTTGGAATCAAGAGAACAATTATTATTATTATGAAATTGAAGATATTCGCTGTATTCTTCGTTTTTTCTGTGGTTTTGGTAGGCGAAATATAGTTGTGTGTCACACATGCAGAAAACGCTCTAGCAGCCCTTAGCTACCCAGTCAACACACGGACATTCGATGGACATCCATTGGACGTCCATTTAGGATATTTGGGATATCCAGAGAATATCCAGTGATATCCGATGTATATCTTATGGACGTCCAATGGACGTGCCGAGTGGAAGGAGTTGGACTTCTATAGGATATCCTTCAGGGACATCCATAAGACATTTTTCAGGGATATCCATAAGATATTGTTCACAAATATCCATAAGACATTTTTCAGGGATATCCATAAGATATTGTTCACAAATATCCATGAGATATTTTTCAGGGATATTTACTAAATATCCTTAACAATATAGAACACCATGTATATTATTCCATAATAAATTAGGAACTATTATAACGAATTCAACGGTGGATTGGATAGGGTTATTTCAAACGATTACGAAGATATTTGCATTCGAAGTTTTCATATGCTCATTGAGGATATGGAAATGTGAATATCTTCCTAATCGTTTGTAGAAATCCTATCAAACACAGTATCGTTGAATTCGTTATGATAATCCTTAACCGATTATGGAATAAAATACAGGGTGTCCCGTTTGAAAATGCCATCCTCGATTAAAGTGCCAGTTATGAAGCAAACATGTAGGTACATACAACACGAATAAATAGTTGATCTTTGTGACATTTATTTGAAAAGTACAACTACCAAGGACAGGTTTGACATTTCCAGAAAAGAAGTTGCTCGTCGACCCTGTTTGTGATAGGAAAATTGAGAATATTCATTATGTTTCATATAACTGGTCTCTTCATTTTTTTCTTAAAACAGGGCATCTCATCTATAGGAATACTGATTGTATTAGTCCCTCTGTTGATTGCTTTTTGTGTCAACCAAGCATATTTATATATCTCTGGAAGATCCCACATTCTTCCTGAAAACAATGATATAGAGTTGAGTTTCAGGAGTTTACCAATATCATTATTAGGGAGAGTTCTTCTTACCTGACACACACAGTGGACTGTAAACATATATAATGTGGCATAATACTTATTATACTTCAATGCAATCATTTGCATCCATTTGACCAGCCAAAACCAGGTGGCCCGCATTTATGAGCTCAGCTTCATTTTGGAGACACTGAATCACTGAAAAAGGATAGACAGATTGAAATGCACAGGCTAAATGGCCAAATCATAAGAATTCTTGTTCAATAATGATAAAAACTTACAGCTTATGTTGGTATAGGTTTTAGGTTCAACATTCCAACTAGAGGTAGGTACAGGGGCGTTTTATCCATAAGGCTAATGAGGCTAAAGCCTCAGGCGCCGCAGATTTTAGGGGCGCCAGCAGATCCTAGGAAAAAGCCAAAAATTGGCAGCCCTGGAAACGAAATTGGAGGATTCAAGCACTACCCACCCATGAAACGCAGGAGTGCATATTCAGTTATTGAGAATCAGTTTGGCTTCCTTGAAAATATTTTGAAATTGTCAGACAGTGATTTGATAAACAGTGCAAGAAATTTGCAAGAAACTTATAATAGTGGATACCTAAGCGAGGATTTTTCGAACGAATGTATAAGGTTTAAAAGTTTTATGGAAGACATCAATTTTGATGGACACCCAACAGTCGTGTTCGTTTACTGAGCAATCACTCAGGTTCATAAGAGAACAAAAAAATTACATCAACTTTTCCAAACATTGATGTGGCTTTGAGAACTTTTTTAAGTATGTATTCCTGCAACAAACTGTTCAGGCGAAAGGTCGTTTTCAACCGAAAAAAGGGTGAAAAATTATTTGAGGAGCTCATTAGAAGATTCCAAAAATAGCAATCTCTGCCTGTTCTCAATTGAGTCAGAGATTTTAGATAAAATCGAATTTTCACAAATAATTGTGCAGTTTGCTGCGAGTAAGTCGAGAAAAATGCCATTTTGAATTCAATGAACACCTATCCAGTGCTACTAAGACTAACCAAAGAATTTATTTGATTTCCTTAATTTTTTTCTGTTTTGCATGTACCTGTATTTACCAATGAATCTGTTTCGTTCATTTTCGTTCATTTTCACTCTAGTCTATCATTTTATGTTGTTTTTTATTGTTTTGTTATTCTTTCAGGATATGTTTTATGTTTCTGTTTCAATGGAGGAGTGTGATGCTAGTATGAATAAAAAAAAATATTTTGAGTTCAATTATCAACTAGCCAAAATGCTACTAACCAAAGAATTTTTCAATTTATTTTGTTATTTTTATTCTGTTCTGTATGTACCTGTTATATGTTATTTATATGTTATTATATGTTTTTGATACTCATTCTGTATTATATTATGTATGAACATATTTTTTCTGCGTTCCTATTTATAAGTATTAATAAGATATACCTACCATTGCATTCTCCATTTGCTTGTATTAACCTAGTAATCTTTCATGCCTTTTTTTTATCCAAACTGACAGATTTTCGAACAAGGATTGAACACAACTATTTTATGGGAAAAAAATTTCACTAGTTACAGGCGCCGATTAATTTTTAGCCTCAGGCGCCTGTAACCCTTAAAACGCCCCTGGGTAGGTAGGTGTTCTACTGTTAAACATCAGAGATATTATTGTCCTCAATCAAAACACAATGAACCACTGGAAAACACGGATTTAAAAAATACACAAATATCAAAGCTGAGAATGATTGAGAACTCAAAACGAAATTAACATAAACACACCTCTCAATAAACACCATCACCAAAACCAAACAATGTAAAATATAAACAATCAAATAGTACTGGCTTTCGCCGTTCTGGCTCTGGCGCTACGATCTCTCTTTCGTTTGACATGGCGGTATTTTCAAATCATCCCACCCGATTTATAAAATAACTTACTCTGAACAATCTATATAACCTCTATGTATTACGGTGAAGTTATAAAAATTATGAAATTGAAAATATTCTATCAGCCTGAATCAATATGATCATACCTATATTTCTTATTAAAAGTTTAACGCATATTATGAGAATAGAACCATAACTAGGTGTGGAATTCAGGAATTCTGAGAGTGGAGAACGTTCAGATATGACACACTAAAAGTCATCATGATTAATACTTATTATAATATACCAAATATCATTATTGCTTATTTGTATTATTACGATGTCTTTAAGACGTATTCAGGACGTGAGAATCAGATATCTTTAAAACGTCTGAATGATGACATCTTGTAGACGTCTTATTCAGGGAGTAAGACGTACAGACTAAGATAGGATATAATTCAGACATCTTAAAGACGTCTTGTGCTATCTGGGTAAGATATCTTCTGATGGATATCCGCTATAAATCCATGGATGAATATCTCATGGATGTCCATCTGAAGACCACAAAAAAGTAAATATATGAGAGCTATTTTCGAGTGATTGTATATTTTTGTACGAAAACATTGAACAACAGAGAAAAATTCCAAACTGTGGTGTTGTTATTTATATGAATTCATATTTGCATCGGATATCTTAATTGTGGCTATAAACATAATTATTATACCTACATAACAATAGTTATATGATGGAAAACTACCTTTGAATTTCTAATAAACATGTGATTTGCATGTGATATTTGTGATGATTCGTATTGTTTTGAACCATTCTCAATTAACAATTTTTGTTCGCTAAACGAACATCTTATGGACGTCCATAGGTGATCCGCATCAGAATATCCATTTGATATCCTCTGACGGATATCCTATGGATATCCATTTCATGTCCCAGGATATCCCGACCTGAAATGGACTTGAGAAGGATATCCATAGGATATCCTGTGTTATCTGGGTATCAGCTGCCCTCGCTTCGCTCGTGCACCTAAAAGTCGCGGGCTGCTCAAACTCATTTTTTGCGGCCTCCGACGCCACGCAGAGTCGTGCTCGATAAAAATCCAGTGACTATTTCCCACAGCCTGTGGGGTGAATAATCACTGGGACCAAGAACCGTGTGTGCCCTAAGTAGACGCAATGATCCAAGTATGACGGCCTTCATTATCATTATTATTATTATTACTATAGTTTATGTCAGTGCATTGTCCTATCATTTGATGTTCATAGGTCAGTGACCCCCTGGCCTTACCGATTCCATCCAAACAGAGGTGCAGCTGTCCAGATAGAGGCCATGCCCCATATCAAGAATATCCAGAAGAGGACGGTCGTTTTGGTCAATGGCTTGGCGCTCAAACCTTTGACGATGACGTTGTAACGGTCCATAGCGATGAAGACCATGGTCCATATTGAGCCACATCCGAAGATTGATCCGAACATGCCGTAAATTTCACAGAATAGCGATCCTAAAATACAATAATCCTGTGTGGTTCGAAGAACATCAAACAATACTTATGGATGCATGACAAATTGATATCATACAGGACGTGAAAAGGAATTCTGAATTGAGAGAACCTAATCACGAATCTGCGATTAAAGGTCTATGAAAATATCAAGTTACCATCGTTCAAGTTTGAACCCCTTGATTGGGTAAGAGTAGATGAAAATATCAATTCTTTCTCGGTTTATTCAACAGAAAACAATTATTTTTCTGGCTATATGCCACGACGAACATTGAATTATATCTATAGAAAACACACGATAAGAATTTGAAAACAAAGTTTTCTGAATATTCAACAGAAAACAACTACTTTATTCCTGGCTATTTATTGTCACGTCGAATATGATACTGATGTTTGATTAGAGGGGAATGATGAATATAAAATGTGGAACAGTAATATATAGGGTGAATCAAAATTCGATGTAAATATTTTAAGGTCGTATTGTTGAAATCAAATCAATAGTTTTTCTTCATATAAACATCATGTGTCCTAAAACCTTCCCCCCTTAAAACTGGATTCACATAATTTTTGAAGAAAGAATGAAATGAAGTGTTTAAAAGAACAGGGACCTGTCATTTTTCAGAAGATTTGATTCGTTATTTTAGTCACAATTGCAGAATATCTTCCTCCTTCACCTAACTTGAAGTGGCTGTAGCTTGGAGGGGGTGAATTTTAGGACACATGTTCATATGAAGAAAAAGTTTTATTTTGTTACCAACAATATGTCATTGAACTATTTTGAATCACCCTGTATTTTTCTACCAGCGAGCGTGATTCAGTTTGAAAAGTGTCATTTTCTTGCAACAGTGCGGGAATTTGTTTCTCATACTAGTGAGGTAAAGGCAATGATATTTTCGCAAAATATAAGTGGTTTGTGATGGATTATAACAGTTAAAGCTTGTTTGTTGTAGTATTGAGTATGTATATTCAGAATCATTCATCAAATTGCACTATTTGTTGTGAAAATTCGGAAATAATGAAAAATAAAAATGTTTTGTTTCAAAAATCCCCTTGTAGACTTGGATTGATGTGGGAAACAATTATTGTTGTCATGCCAATCAAACTACGAATTAGTTTGTAATTGTCAGCTTGATGCATATGCTTCTGAACGGATACAATAGCATTGCTTCCTGTTCAGTTGATATATAGATAGAACATGGTATCCAATACTGAAAAGTGAACATGAAAATGGTAGATCATGTTACTCAATTGTATACTAACATACTATTACTCATCCATAAAGTGTCAAACTATAAGAACAAAATTTTCGAAGGGAGCAGATTCGATCCCGAAACGTCCAAAGATGAGAAAAAATTCTATATTTTTTTAACTATTTCTTCTCTTCAAACTTTTTTCCAAACGAAGTGTCACTGTCAAGCTATCGGATTTTTCTTTTAGGCTCCCTGATAAAAAATATTGTTATACGCAGTGACATTTCGTCCTACTACACATATCGTCGCGGCTTACAGTCAAACCCTCGTAAGTCTTTCAGAGCTAATTGTTCACGAGGGGAAAAACGTTTTCCACTAGGTACTTCAAACGATTCAATTTCATTTCTTCCTCCTTTGTAAAGGTACCTGCTTGATTAATGAAATCAACATTCTGAGAAGATTTATATTCTCAATGTTCAAATAAACTACATACGAAGTATTTTCAGAAAAATGAATTGAACATCATTCGGACTGAATTGGTTTTGATTAATTACTAGTGAAAATTGTCATTCAGTTTGGCTTTGCTTCACAGTGCATGTAGCGAATCAGCGGCAGTTTTGATAACAATGAGAAATATGGGTTCAACAATAATGAACCAAAATATTTCAATCAATATCTCCATTTGGAATGAACAGAATAAAATCATACAAATATGTCCATAACATCTTGTACATGGATAATGCTGAGGAAAAGATGGTCCAAACTTTATCAAATCCTCACCTAATACCCAAGTTTGATAGTAACAGTTGAGAATCGTTGGAGGAGCCATCGTCACCATCATACAGAAATCGGAAAAGGCCAAATTAACGACCAGGAAGTTAGAGGGCGTCCTGAGGCTCTTCGTCGAGCAGAATATGTAGATGACCATGCCGTTTCCGACGACAGAAATGATGCCCAAGACGACCATCATGAACCCGAGGATGCCGTGCCACAGGGGGGTGATAGGGGGGAACTGATACCAGTACGCGTCGACCATGTGGAGCATGTCGGGCAGCACTACGTCCACGATGGTGAGGTTGCCGCCGAAACCTGCCCCCCTTTGGGCCACCCACGCCCCGTAGTTGGGCTCCCCCATCACGGACATAGTGGAGCTGAAAGAACAATTGTACCGGGTTATTTATAAAGGATGACGAGGTAGGTACTGTATCTCAGGAACTAATAATAGACGAAAAAAAAGTTCTGTTGCACCAACAAAATAATTTTGGTAATTTTTTTTTGTTAAATTAAACATAATTTTGCGAAATCAACAAAATATATGGTCATTCCAAATAAGCAACCTATTCAAAGAGACAAAATAATTTGATTGGAATATTTGCTTACTTGAACAAAAGTTTCATTTCATTCAACAACATTTATAGTTGACGTTGACATAAAACAAATTTTGTTGATCCAACTATTATCTCATTGTTCAATCAATCATATGCATCTTGTCTATTCGACACAATCAAATTAATTTTGACAAAGATTCAACTAAATACAACATCATATTTTGTTGAGTCAACAATCATTTAATTGTGCAACCAATCGAAGGTTTTTTCGAAAAAATTGAATTGACTATGACATTATATTTTGTTGGTTCTACCCTTGATTATATACTCAATGGTTCTACACATCACTATCAAGAAATATGCAGTTATTTCAAACAGATAATTTTGTTGAACAGAACCCACAGATACATTATATCAAACAAATATTTTGGCGTTTCTTCCAACCTTCCTACGCTCGCCTCGATTGGGGTGTACATATACCTACCTACAACATCCTTTTATATAATTACCTTTGTGATTACATTGAGTTGTCCTAGAATTTCTTATGACGCTTATACAGGGCCTACTGTATGCTTATACAAGCTAATAGTCTTGAAACAGTTGAATCAACTGAGGAAATTGATCTCGAATTTCAAAATTCAGTTATTGGATTTTTTGAAATATTATTCAGCAAAATATTTTGTCGATTCTATTTAAATACAATTTTGTTGATCGAAGAATATATAGATAGATAGATAGCGATAGATGGCGTTTATTTGGCTACGTTATGCAAATACATACATTTGTAGCAAGTCAATACATCAATACAATACAATAATGTATGAATCTGATAAAAAAAATAATTTGTGAATGAATTGTTATAATAAAAGACATCAAAACACTAATATATAGATATAAAATACAATAACATATAGATGTAAAATAGGGCCAAGACATAAAGAATACGGTTAATTTTACATTAAGATCAATTGCAGCAGGTGGGCTAGTTATATACTCAATATCATTATAGTAACATTTGGCTAAAAGTTCATTTTTAATGTATCGTTTGAATTTTTTACCTGTAAGATTTTTCACTGTTTGTGGTAAGATATTATACAATTTCGTGTTCGGAGAGTTTGATGCAGATTTATGTAGTCTATATCTTGAGGATCTGATGAGTTCAGCATTGCGAGTACTGTAATCATGGAAATGAGCATTTCTATCGAATTCATTTTTATTTTCATGGATTTCAAGAAGGCAATGGTAAATATATAAGGTAGGAAGGGTCTATATAATCTGCATTGGCAATTATTCTAACTGCTTTTTTTGAAGCTTGATGAAAACTCTATCAGAAGATGAGGAGTTTCCCCACAAAATAATACCATACCTAAGATGCGAATTGAAAAATGCGTAGTATGCTGTCAAAAGGATCTTAAAACTTACTATAGATCTCAACTGTCGAAGCAGAAATATATGCTTTGAAAGTTTGGAACATAAGTCATCAATATGATTGCGCCAGTTCAGGTTATCATCTATTGTGATTCCTAGTAGATTTACTTTATCACCTTTTTTAATTTTACTGTTGGATGAGAAGATTAAATTCTGAGTTTTGTCTCTGTTAAGTTTCAAGAGATTTCCAGTGAACCATTTTTCTGCCTGGTTTTCTACATATTTCATGGATGTAATTAGGTTTTGACTGTTTTTGTCAGAGCATATTAGCGTACTACCATCTGCATAAACTACACATTTGTTTGGTAACATATGATAGAAAAAAATCATTGATGTAAATGATGAAAAGGAGAGGCCCCAGAACAGAGCCTTGGGGTACTCCAGATTTCATCACCTCGAATCCAGATGCTTCGTTGCTGTTAAGGCAAACGTAATGCGTTCGACTATGAAGGTAAGACTGGAAGAGAGAAAGTGCAATTCCTCTGATACCGTAATCACAAAGTTTTTTCAAGATTGATATTTCAACATATTCAGTCTCTGAAAAACTGAAAATTTTGTCACTTGAATGAAATGATATAATCATTTCAATCAACAGAATCTGTTCATAAGAGCAGACATTGTATTAAAGGAACAAAATGGTCTTTGTTAATTCAACCAGTTTCTACTGTTGATTTGAATCATTAATGAGTTACATCAAATGAATTTGGATTGAAAACTGACAAAAAACATTTGTTGCGGTGACAAAATATTTTGTCGTGGATATATGACACTCAGATTTTGTTGAATTTACAAAAATTCTGTAGTTTCAAACATTTTTTCTTCTGTGTTGTCGTAGAAGTTTGAGGAAAAAATCCTTCAGAGGAAATCGACCAAGAAAAATTGCTGAAAATATTTCTTTAACCCACAGTCGTACCGTTAGGGGGCGTAATAGCTTCGATCGTATAAAAAATGGATTTTTTTCGAAAATTTTCCGATATAAGTTCAAAAATGAATACACTCACGTGAATGCCACCATAATAGTCCATCTTTTTGATTAACATTATTTCATTGTAGGACGTTAAATGAAGGCGGCAATTTTTCTTGGTCGATTTCCTCTGAAGGATTTTTTTCACAAACTTCTTCGACTATTAGTTCTTGAGATACAGTACCTCGTCACCTTCGATGAATCACCCGGTACAAGGTGTTTCTTAAGTACGTGTAGAAAATTCAGGATCATGTTGCTGACGTCAAAAAAAGAAGAAAAATTCGTATAAACATATATGTCCGACAGAGATACATCAGAGTATCAAAGTTTTTTTTTTTGGTTTTTTGTTAATAAATTTCAAAATAATTGTGATATTGAAATGAAATTTGGTATCTAGGGGTATTTTTTAACACTCACCTAATGTTTTTCAACTTTTCGTTGATAAAACCCTCCATTCTGAAGAAAAAAATATATCTCCGACATAAAAGTTCTGATTCAAAAAAATTCGAAATTGTTTCGAGAAAAGTCGTCAAGCATCACGATCATAGTCGAAAAAAAATACTTACACAAAATATTTGCTCAAATGGCAACATACAGGGTGTATCTAAATAACACCGGAAAAATTCAAGGGGTGCATGATACCTTGTGATATTCTAGCAAATAAAGTTCACATGAACATGTATCCTAATTTGCTCCGTTTCTGAGATACAGGATGTTGAAGTTGAAAGAACTAATTGTTTTTATTTATAACCCTCCTGTATAAGCTTTCATGGTGCCAAAATTCAGTATCGATGGAGACTGAGAAAACCCCAAAATTTCATAATGATTCTAATCGGGGATATTGAGTAATCTCAATGAAGGACGTTTTGAAAACACCTACATTAAAATTTGGAGTCGAATCGAATGAAGTATCCATTGTTTTCATAAGCTTGTATGAGCTTCCATGGTTCCAAAAAATTCAGTATGGTTTGAGACGGAGGAAGCCCTAAAATTTCAAAATGATTGTTATTGAGGTTATTGAGTAACCTCAATGGAAGTCTTGAAAACACCTACATTAAGATTTGGAATCAAATCGAATTTTTATTGTTTCCTCAGAAACTAAGCTTGATATCGAAATCATACAAGGGATAAAAAAGTTATTATTTCAATAGTTGAATCTAATGAAAGTATGAGACTGAAAAAAACCCGTGGCGTACAATGATATTCACCATAAATATCGATAAATTTACCCACTGTGACGCCACTGGAAATATTATTTCGAATCAAATCGCACCAGAAGAAGATCCATAGTACTATTTACAAAACCACAACGTTTCAATGAAATTGATGAAAAGACAATTGAGTAATGAATAAAAAAACCGATTTTTGATGGAAATATCAATACCCTATCTCGAAAACGAAGCAAGTTACGACACATGTTCATATGAACTTTATTTCCTAAAATATCACAAGGAATCGACCCTTGAATTTTTTCGATGTTATTCACAGATATAACGACACTGCGGCACTTTTAAACTACTGCAATAATTATCATAAAAGAACGTTCATCTGTAATGTTTGTAGTCTCATTATGCTCTGGATAGTAAGTGAGAGATTAGGCTTGCCAATTGTGAATACCGAATAGAAATTAGTTATGGAATACATGAGTAATTCGATTTTCAAGTCGGCCTATATTCTGGACCATGACGTTTATTTTGTTGATCAGTGTAGTGTGTAGTTCTCGAAATGTAGATCGCGTATAGGCACTCGTATACTCGTGATTGCTCTATCTAGAGATAACATACTCCTACATCTCTCACTCAGCCCGAGTGAGAATAGTGGAATTCAAAAGAACTCACCCAAAATCGGATATTCTCTATTTATAAGCACGCCTATATTCGGAAGAATTTCCAGAAAGTTCACATCAAAATAGGTTCTTGAAGACGTGCTTGGGCTATGACTCATTTTTCCCCTTGACCATTTCCTTTTTATACCCATGTCTTACAAGAAAGAAACTTTATTGAATTATGTACGTAAGAAGAATGAACAAGCTTTCCCATAAGGTTTCTCTTAAAATTCTTAATGGAATTATAGGTCTTACTGAAAATTTAATTCAGTGGAATGATAGGAGATTGTTGTTCATTGCTTGCATGCGTTGAAGGTTATGAGATTTCGATGCACAAGGTTAATTGAGTGAAATAAAGGGATATTATTTAATACATGCATAAACACGGATCATACAGTTCTAGCAATTTATCATTTATCACTTGATACATAACGAAAATTCAAATAAACAAATTATAGTCCTTCGGTTTCAGTTTCTGGAGTAGGGTAGATATACCAGTATATAATAATTCGGTAACCTTCACGAAACGGGGAAGCCATAGGTATCGAAGTTATCATGATTTGGCAATATTATATGGATAACTACGAAAACGTTATCATTAGGTTTC